ATTTGGGTGGAATACAGAGCAGACGAGGCGTGTGCAAACCCATCCAACAGCCCACTTGTGCAAATCACAGCTATTGATGGGACATTAGAAACCAACGCGAGCCTCACGTCAGCCGCGCCGCGGGGTCCGAGACCTGCAAGACCACGAGTGCAGAGTGCAGTGGATGCACATTACTGGTAATTGTAGGTTTGTGTCCGTGTGTATCTTAACTCAGCGTTTATTTCTGTCGTAATAACCTCTACGGCGTGTCGTAAACGGCTAAATAATTGGCCGTCGTAAGTGAACGCGTTCCATTTGCTGTCTGTTTAAACCATCCTGTTTTAGAATCGTTTGTTAGCTTAGTGGGATTGATGATGTAGGTCGTCTGCTTTTGTAGGGTAGTAAGTATTAGAAATATGTCTTGTTTCAAACTGTAAATTTATATACATACAGACCTCGATGTCGATTAGATATATGAACAACGTGCATTCGTCATAGTACGTATAAAATCATGTTATTTAACGTTCTCAGTGCGACAATTTATGTCTGTGGTAAAACATACCAAAATACAATCAGGTATTGCTTATTTGGTTTTTCTTTGCTAACACCTTCGTGGTATTATGTATTCGTAATAACAATTCGATATTGTTTGGTTAAGTAACCAAATTAACTGAAATTACAATCCTTTATTTAACCAGGCAAAACTAGAGCACATGGTTCTTTCGCAATTTTTACAGCATTACACGTTACAATTAAAATTCTTCAGGAAATTAAACTCCTAGGTATCAAACTAGGATATTGAGCCAAAAAACAGAGTTCATCTTTGCACAGAACTCTTAGTCGTGTCCGTGATCATGGACATGGTTATGATTGCCTTAAAATTCAGCATTTACAGTATCACCATGATTATCAAAAGAATTGATTAAAAACTGCGAACCCTAAGTCAAATCAGACTTCGGTAAATAAAAGCACACGAAGATTGCAGAATGCAGATTAAGTTGTTTACAACAAACCCCTGTGGAAGGCAAGAGTTACTGATATCCACGCTGTTTGTTGACATGAGTCATGCACCATCCACAACTCTGCAGCACAGGTAATTAGCACGAATGTAACCACAAGATGCAGCACGATAAGTCTCAGAACCGGTCCAACTTATCGGCGACATCGCAGAAAACTTGTTTCCGCTGGGGACACGTGCAAATTAAACAGACGCGATCTTTGTATTCTGGAGACATAAACATTTGTCGTGGCCACTGGTGATCGGCAAAAACGATCGACAAAACCGCCAGAACTCCCCGAATCTCTAAATTTCCACGCGAGACTTACCGAGTCGACGTATTTGGCGGGAAGAAAGGCTTCATTGTGGCAGAGTGTAACCCAATTCAGGAAACTGGTTCGTCTCCGATAAATGTGTTTTGGTGAATCAAGAAACGTGCTGTGACTGCTGATGTGGTGAACAATGGATCAATGGCCATCTGTCATTGGCTAACTAGTTTGTGATTCCGCCTCCCTGTTAAATATACATATTTGACTTTTTCTGTCCAATAATTCAAACTTATACATTCTGAATAAAGTACACCACAAGACTACTCGATTGATCATTGTGATTTTGTAGAAGTATTTTTCTAATTAAAATTATATGAAGAGTGTTCGTGGGTTTTAAGATTGACAAGGACTTTTTTGCATCTTCAAAACTATTTATTGATAGAATTTTTAGTACCTATTCGACTTAAGTAGCCTAGCAGACTTGAAAAATCTGTAAGTTATAGGTGAAAATCTAATTGGAAAGCTACGAACTCATGAATATGTTAAAGTACCATCCTCTAGGACTCTTCGATATTATATTAAATATTAAATTGACTCAAATCCTTTTTTGAGTGATTCAGGACCAAACCCCAGAACAAATCATCTGTGCATTAATACCCAGCTAACAAATATTCCAAATTAAACTAACTGTCATACCAGAGACGTAGACATGCGGATGGCTAATTAAAAGCAACTCTTAAAAATGAATCGGTCATGATAGCAGTTTAGAAACACATTGTGAACAAAGACTTTTCTGTAAATTGTTTTAGGATAGTGGATTGATAAAATGTTATCATTTTAGTGATATTTTCCCTTACAAACTGGCTGTTAAGATGATATCTCAAAGGTAGGTGAAATGTAACAAAGATAATCAATAAATAACTTTTCAGATAAACTTTATAACCATTTGGATTTCGAGAGTATATTTCTTCCATATTGTAGTAGAAGTCATTATAGTTTCATATATGAACAGTTATAATTATTAGTAACGGAAGAGTTATTATGTTTTGCGGGGTGGCTGCACTGTGCACTGGGCCCTGATGTGGGATGATTCGTCACGGCTCCCTCTTCTATGTCCACCAACGAACGTAAGTGGTTCTCTTGCTGTTTTGTCCACTTTTCTAGCGTAACGTTAGGTTACGACATTTTGGCGCAGTCGGTAATAAACCTTTTTATCATAGTTAGGGTAGTACGCGATAACAGTTGTTGTTTTAGTGCGTTATTAGAGTTGAGATGATTAAAAATGGCGAGTATTAGTGTTGGCAGGATTTCGGAATTTAATCCAAGTGAGGAGGACATTGTGCCCTATTTGTTGCGCCTGAAACATTTCTTCAAAGCGAACAATGTTAAGAAAGAGAACGAGGTGTCGGTTTTAATTACAGTTATTGGTCCCAGGATTTTATCGGTACTTTCCGATTTATTATCACCGGTAGAGGTAGATTCCAAGACCTATGATGAACTTGCAGGGTTGTTGAAATTACATTATGCGCCCAAGAAGTTGGTTGTGGCGGAGCGATATGTATTCTACTCTCGTGTGCAAAAGCCGTGCGAAAGCATAGCAGAGTTTGTGGTTTCAATAAAACATTTGGCTAGTTCGTGTAAATTTAGTACCTTTTTGAAAGACGCTTTGAGGGACAAGGTGATTTCCGGCATTTCTAATGAAAATATCCGGCAAAAATTGTTGTCGGAGGAATTAGACTTTGATGAAATTTATGCGTTGGCGCTCAGGCTGGAACAGGCCGAATCGCAGTCGAGCCTATTTGGGCAACCTCGTGGGGACATTGCGAAAATCAATGTGAAAAGTCAAAATAGGCCTAAAACTTTCGTGAATAGGAGTAGTGAAAATCAAAATTCTAGAAACTCTTGTTGGAGGTGTGGTTCTGCTGGTCATTGGCCTAGTGCGTGTGCGTTCGCCAATTACAAGTGTCACGGTTGTCAGAGAGTAGGTCATCTCAAGAAAGTGTGTAAAGCCAAGAAATCTTCTAGTTTCCATGGTAAAAAGTCGACACCTAGGATGGGGGTCCATCAAGTGGAGGAAGAGGTTGGCCTAGGCCTAGAAGTTCCAATGGCAGAGATAGGTTTGTACAACCTTAAATCAGGATCAGACAACGGCTATAAGGTAGGCCTAGTGGCTAATGATGTATATTTAGAAATGATTCTAGATACAGGCAGTGCCTTGACTATATGTCCTTCTGAGATATTTTATGAAAAATTTTCTAAGCTCAAACTTAGGCCAGCAAATGTGAAACTTACTACTTATTCAGGTCATGATGTACCTGTTCTGGGACAAGTGAATGTCAATGTTAAATATAATAATCAGCAGGCGAGTTTGCCTTTGACAGTAGTTAGTTTAGAAAGTAAGAGTCAACCGATTCTGTTGGGCCGAAACTGGTTAGGTCAGTTGAGGTTAGATTGGCAAAACGTGTTTTCATGTAAAGCCACTGTGGCTCATAGTTCTGATGTGGATATTGCTAAGTTGAAGAGTAAATTTAGGTCAGTTTTTCAGCCTGGAACGGGCGAAATTAAGGGTGTTAAGGCTCACATTGTTTTGAAGGAAGGGACAGTCCCTAAGTTCTGTAAGGCGAGACCAGTGCCTTTTGCGTTAAGGGAGAAAGTTGAGAGTGAGTTGGACCGAATGGTTCAAGAGGATGTTGCGTACAGAGTTACTAATTCACAGTGGAGCACTCCACTTGTGGTTGTCCCTAAGCCTAATGGTGTTAGGCTTTGTGCCAATTATAAAATTACCCTTAATCAGTGTATTGAAATGGAACATTACCCGCTTCCACAGGCTCAAGATATTTTTGCAACTCTAGGTGGTTGCTCAGTTTTTAGCTGCCTTGATCTTTCAAATGCGTATCAGCAATTGGCGGTAGCGGATGAATCGCAACATCTGTTGACCTTAGCCACCCATAAGGGTCTGTATCGATTAAAAAGGCTACCATATGGTTTGTCTTCAGCTCCTGCAATTTTTCAGTCAGCCATCGACCAAATTTTAACAGGTCTTCCAGGAACCGTGGCGTACTTAGATGACGTCTTAGTAGCGGCTCGCTCTAAGGAAGAGGGGCTCGCCCGTCTGGCGCAAGTGCTGCAACGCCTTGATGAGTTTGGTGTTCGAGTAAACCAACAAAAGTGCAAGTTTTTGCAATCTTCAATAGAGTATTTAGGACATGTGATTACCCGAGATGGTCTCCGTCCACAAGAAAGTTTGTTAACTGCGCTGCGTAAAGCGCCTGAGCCTAGTACTAAGGAAGAGTTAAGAGCCTATATTGGTCTAATAAATTATTATCATGCATTTATACCTAACTTGTCTGCTAGAATAAGCTGTTTTTATGACTTATTACATAAGGACCATCCATGGGGGTGGTCGGATGTGTGTTCTAAGACCTTTCAGGAGAGTAAATCATGGGTGTTGGACTCAAGTTTGTTAGTTCACTATGATGTAAAAAAGCCCATAGTTTTGACGTGTGATGCGAGTCCCAGAGGGGTGGCTGCAGTTCTATCTCATCTCATCGATGGTCAGGAAAGGCCAATTGCCTTCGCATCGAAAACGCTAAGTTCCAGTGAACGGAATTATTCTCAGTTACATCGGGAGGCTCAGGCTTTGATCTTTGGAGTCAAAAAGTTCATAAGTATATATATATGGACGACATTGTATTTTACAGACTGATCATCAGCCGTTGACGGCTATTTTTGGCTCTAAAAAAGGCGTTCCTAGTATGGCGGCAGCTAGGCTGCAGAGATGGGCCTTGATTCTATCAGCATATGATTTGGAGGTTAGGTACCGGAAGGGAGTGGATGTCCCTCATGCTGATGCGTTGTCTAGGCTACCCTTAGCAGAAGCGGAACCTATAGAGCTGGATGCTAATTTTGTTTCACATGTAGATGTGTGTACAGAAGTGATGAACAATTTCTGTGTTGTCAAGGACATTGCACCTATTACTGCCTTGCATATAGGTAAAATGACGGATAAGGATCCGATTCTTTCGAAGGTCCGAGATTTTGTGATGTACGGCTGGACGAGCTCGGTTGAGCCGGAACTAGCTATTTTTCTAAGGAAGAAGGACGAGTTGTCCGTGGAACAAGGTTGTTTGCTGTGGGGTTCTCGTGTAGTGATTCCAAAGAAACTGTATTCATCTGTGCTTCAAATGTTGCATGATCAACACCCGGGAGTTACACGCATGAAGATGCTGGCGAGAAGTTATGTCTGGTGGCCAGGCATGGAGAAGTCGATTGAAGACGTGGTGGCCTCTTGTTCTGCTTGTCAGTTAACTAGGAATTCGACACCTAAAGTACCGTTGCAACAATGGCCTACCACATCAACCCGATGGCAGAGGATACACATTGACTTTGCGGAGGATCCAGAGTCGAGACAGCAACTTTTAGTTTTGATTGACACATACTCTAAATGGTTAGAGGTATTTATCATGAGTTCCATGAATTCTTCCAAGGTTATCGAGAAACTCCGTACCTTGTTTTCATCGTATGGATTGCCTGTCGAACTGGTGTCGGACAACGGAAGATCTTTTACTAGTCAAGAGTTCAAAACCTGTTTGCATAACAACAATGTGAAGTTCACATTAACTCCCCCGTATCATGCGGCTTCAAATGGATCTGCAGAGAGAAGTGTTCAGGAGGTCAAGAAAAACCTTTTGCGTCAAGTGATTGAGGAACATCAGCGTTCTCAGCGTACCACTCTTCAAATGAAATTAGATAATTTCTTGTTTGCGTACCGCAACACTCCAAATACAGTTACTGGCTTAACCCCTGCAGAAATGTTCCTGTCTTGGAAGCCTCGTACACAGTTGGTTATGTTAAAACCCAATCTCCAGTCATCCATTGATCAAAAACACAGGGAACAAAAAGATGCAGCTGATAGGCTTAGGGGAAGAAGTAGATTTTTCTCAGAAGGTCAGGCAGTCTATGTCAAAACTGTCCGAAATGAAAAGATATCTTGGGTTCCTGGCAAAATAATTCTACAGAGAAGTCCGGTCACCTATCTTGTGAGTGTCATTGGTGGAAAACCCCCATTTTGTCATGCAGACCACTTGAGAGCTCGGTATGCAGAAGAGGAGGAGATTTTTGTATCACCCAAGGATCCCATTGTATCACCCCAAGTACCCAAGAATTCACCCCCGCCGGAGGATCGACCAACTAGTCCCCAGATGATGTCACCTGTACCTAGGCCTACTACCAGTCCCAGGGAGAGCCTAGGGCAAGCCCAGCCTCAGCCAACTCCTGTGTCACCGCTAGCACAGTGCAGCCCACTACCCTCGCTGAGGAAGTCTGGACGGACTGTGCGAAAGCCTCACAGGCTGGACTTGTAAAATTATGAATGAATAATGGGAAGAAGAAATTTTGGTTGCGTTTTATGGAAAGTGAATTTATTTTATTTTAAAAGTTGAGTTAATTTTGAATTTATGGTATTGACTTTTTTTATGGGGAAGACGAGTGTAGTAGAAGTCATTAAAGTTTCATATATGAACAGTTATAATTATTAGTAACGGAAGAGTTATTATGTTTTGCGGGGTGGCTGCACTGTGCACTGGGCCCTGATGTGGGATGATTCGTCACGGCTCCCTCTTCTATGTCCACCAACGAACGTAAGTGGTTCTCTTGCTGTTTTGTCCACTTTTCTAGCGTAACGTTAGGTTACGACACATATGAATTAGGATAATTTGAAAAATCAATGATGTGCTTAAAATTAAAACAATGGTCCTAGACAAGTTGGTTAACGAGTAGTTAAAGTGTTAAACATCATATTTACGGTGAAATGGTATGTTGAGTTAAGTAATATCATAGACTAACTAACGTTTTATCTATGGTAGGCCTAATATTTTACTTTAACAAAGATATAAAGAAACAAGCTCGGTGAGCTTGTTAACAAATCATTCAATCACGAGCAACACCTTCGTTGTAAAAAAAACGTCTCGAAAAAAAAAACACTCGTCGAAATAAATTGTCGGATCGTTTCACACCTCCGATTTTGATTTCGCCGAAAGAATCCGTATTCCACCGAATTGAGATAAGATCAGCGCAGCGGCTCGTCGAAATGATCAAAGATCACAGGTGGGCCTTGGTCATCCGGATCCTGTCACTTCTTGTTTTTATAGGTCTTTGGTTGTTTCGTAGTCAAAACAAATTAGAGGTGTTTGATCCGCCGCGATACCGTCGCTATCGACACCTCCAAGCCTTCCGTACAACTAAAGAAACGGCGGGAGTTTTTGCCGCCAACGTGGATCGCGGAATTGACGATTTACTTCAATTAGCGGACAATGGTTGAGTACTGAAGAAGATTAGTCATTCCAAGAACCTCACGATCCGATAGTTTAACTGTTGTACGTCTACGTGAAAACTCCCGATCGAACACGGAGAAATCAATAGTGATTCCGAGTAAGTGCGATTATTGTAGGATTCCTGTGTTTTTCTATTTTCCTGTCGGCTCTTTTGTCTGGGTCGGAAGTATCTATGACCAGAGACACAGACGCTTTTTATAATACATACTATACAACTAAGACATGTGTAACTTGATAAAAAGTTCAACAAACCTGATTAAACTATGTTAATCATTATTTTTTTAACTTCTTTTCACGAAGTCTTTTTTCCGCCAATAAATAAGTCAACCAATTAAATTTGTCATTACGTTCGTAAAAAAAATCCCTATACAAAAAAATCTTCCAACAAATGGGTTAATAAAATGGCTTATGGACATATTGGAGTTTTTGCGTGTAAGGAATTTTCAGGTGGCCTTTAAAATTACTGCTTTGGGAAGAATGAAAATGTTTGAAATTCTACAAAACGGGAGTTTTCGTCCATCATGTTCTAACCTAATCATAAAGAAGAATAATCCACTGTAGTTACTTTCTATTGTAACTTCGTATTTATTAATTATTAATTTATTTTTTGTATCCTTCCTCAAATATTGAAGAAGATAATGATGGTATCCTCTAAAATCAAACTACTCAATAAAGATTTCATGATCAAAGGTAATGCTCTGTTCTAGGGTAGTTTAAGACCTAAATTGTTATCTTTTATCATCCCATTCCATTTCGAAGCATTGGTGAAGCTAATAATACAAATGATATGGTTAACCTACAATACAACCTCGAAGTAAAAGTAGACTATTGCTTTTGTCTATTTTAACCGAATTCCTTCACTTGCTCATGCAGGGCTCTGGAGGCTGGAGCAGGTATCTCCCCTTGATCCCTGTTCTGCTCTCCCTTCTCCGTCATTGTGTCACCGACGTCGAACCTGACGGATAATCCGCATTCAACGCAGTTTACAATTACCCGACAAAAAGTGGGACGGATTGTTCGGAAATTGGAGCGACGCTGTAAAAAGAGCTTGCATAAAGTGTCTTCACAGGTGGGTGACTACAAAAGGGCGACCTCAAAGGCTCTTACGTTCTTTCATGGCTCGCTGGCGTTAAAATATTCTTTACAACCCGTACTAGGGGACATACTTTCTTTTTTGGGCCTCTTTGAATTATTTAAGAGGTCGCTGTGAAAGGACTTGTACAAATATGCCCCAAGTAAGGATGCTGTTTAGTTTTCTCACTGGAATAAATTATCGTATATTTAAAGGTTAAATGGACATGTGTAAAAGAACATTGTAAATACCCCCTAGGGATCTCTGCGAAGAAGTATTTCACAAACTGTTTGCTTGCGAAAGTTAACTTTTAATGTTTAAATGTTGCAAGTAGACTTTTCATTCTAAAGTAGGATGTAAAACCTGTTTTAATGTTTGTTCCATAATGGTGATGTTAGAGTGCACGGACGTTGACTAATTTAATTTTTTATGTTAGGGTAAATTTTAAGATTTTTGCTTTATTTATTAATTATAAAAACACATCATAAGAAATTCTTCTAATACCAGATACCAGAGGATAACCACGAACTAATAACTAGATTGTTATATTCAGTTAAAATGGTTCATTAAATAGAAACATAGTAAAGTAACAAAAAAAGTGACAAAAAGTTTTTGTCTATGGTTAAATCCACAAATATCATAACAGAAAACATTATGGATCATAAACATACACAAATGACGTCACTCCCCAGAATGCCTAAGCTAATAGCTGCTACTGCTGTTTTGACAGTTCTATTATAAAATCATGTTTACTTTCGGGCCAGTGACATTATTTGTTTATGTTTATGATCCCTATTTCTGTTGTAATATTAGTGCTTAAATCTATTTATTTCGTACCAAACAATTAATAATTGTCGATTTCGAATCAAGTATTTGTACCTTGTATGCAGGTCTAACCAATTATGGTCCAATGGTCATTCGGACCTCCAGATCCAAACCACATATTTCATCCCGTCATATTTACAGCGTCCTCACTTTTGATTTACTCTCCTCGACTTTGCCGGACGCAATCGTAAGTTGGTCCGTTTAATTTGCGAACTAATCACAAAAGTTTACGACTCTTTTTGACGTTGGGTCATCACTTGAACGATTTACATCCACGTAGTCTTGTTAATGTTGCCATAAAGTTCTGTACAGAACGATTTGTCTTCGACTGCAATCCTCGTACCCTGTCGTGAATCCAGTTTAATGAGTCCGCAAAACGTGGACTCTTAAAGACACCTGAAACAAAAAAGTGTCTTAGTAGATAAATAAAATTATAATCATATGTATATAGCCAATTATTTTAGCACTTTGCCGAATTGGACGATCATTATTGGAAGCATTTCACATGGTTTTAACCACCAAAAATCATTACCAAGATGCCTAACCCTATTTTTACTGAAGGATTTATGCCAAGAGATTTCAGTACAGTACTAGATAAAATTGTATTTCAAGTGGTTGGGATTGATTTGTCTTCAAATATCTATACATAAATCTATTAAGGGTTACGAACTTTTGAGAAAACCCTAAACCTCACAGTCACACCTATCAACTGTATAATTGAATGAAAGGTTTTGATATGAAACTTTGCCGAAAATATTATTTTTTCTAAGTTTATATATAAATGTAGAGATGTGTGACGTGCCTTAGGTACAGAAGCAATTCCAGACCTGGCCAACAGAGGCAGGGTGATTTGTCTTGGATCCAATTACAGAGATTGACCCCACAGATGTTTATACAACTATGGCTGTAGAGGTGTGTACAGCCGTAGCCTCAGATACAGAGGCACATCCAGATCTGGACTGCAGAGGCAGGGTGATTTGTCTTGGACCCAATTACAGAGATTGACCTAACAGATGTTTGTATAACTATGGTTGTAGAGGTGTGTACAGCTGTAGCCTCAGATACAAAGGTACATCCAGATCTGGTCAGCAGAGGCAGGGTGATTTGTCTTGGACCCAATTACAGAGATTGGCCACAGTAGCTGTAGGCTAATTGCCTGGACACAAGAGTATTGTCTACATTGTGCTCGCCAAGGCCACGTCCTCTCATTATTGGTTCACGGGTTTCTTTATCTTGTCTTCAATTGGATCTCTGAATCGCCACCAGGTCTGGGTTGATTGTTTCTTTCTTTGTTTTATTATAGTTATTTCTGCCAATGTTTTTTTTTTATTCTGATAGCTTCTTTCATGAGAGGTGGTCTCTAAACGTATTGCAAGTTTTTGTTTGATGTTAGGAAGTAGATAATTAACGTATATTTTATATTAAAACAGTCTTGAGGTTTAAGCTTTGATTAGAACATCGTCCGTGGATCTACTATTCTTAAAGGGGGATTTCTTACTGAACTAACCTAACCTCAAGAGGAGAATCAAAATGCTTGTGTTTGTGAATCAAAAATGATGTGTTTGAGAATCAAAAAACTTAAGTTTCCTACAACGTTACAGCGTTGATTATTGCAAGCTCAATCTTGTCCTCCCCATCTTACAGAACATATGATTGGCAGGAGTTCAAGGCGATGATTATACGTTTTAACTTTCAATTATCTTTCCCCACCTACAATTACCGCTTCTCATGGATACAGGCTGCACACATTACCATCGGATTATTCAGATGCAGCAACAATGTCCGCAGTTGCATTAGAATTGCAGAGTTACGATGGACTTATAATCGCATTAAGTCCGGTTCTTCCATTAGTATATAGACCAGTTTTTGTTTGGGATAATCTTTAATAATTACCACCAGGCCCTACTTTCAGTAAATGTTATTTTACTCTAATTCTTCTAATTTTATTTTCTCCAAAGATCTTGGAGGATTTCTCTCTCAGAGAACCACTTTTAGTTTTGTTTGACGGAAAGCAATTACCACTATGAAGTAGACGAGCCTATAAGTTTGTAAAATACTATGTAAACTATGTCTCTGAAATCTTAATTATCTGTCTCTTGAACACAGGAATTATAACTTAAAGTTATGATTTTGG